AATCCCCGCGTTAATCCACACGATCATCGAGTGCAGCTATCCTACCCCTTGCAGGATAGCTGCACTCGATGTAACCCTGCCGCTATTCAATCGACAAGAAGGATGTTTATCTAGTTTATGATATTCTTTCTGCATCTCGAGATTCTTGTGTACAAAAAATCTGCTAACTTTTTGTATAATATTGCATTTTTTCAAAGAATGATCAAGTAATCTTAAAGAATCATTGAGTACTCCTGCAAATACTGCAAAATACTGCAAATAATAAATGTATATAGAAGTGGTCTACAGTCATGTAAATGTGATAGATACGAAATAAGCGAACGATCAAATGAAAAAGAAGTATCGAGAAAGGACATCGACCCGACGATGCAGCGCATGCAAGTAGGATTCACTTGGTTTTCTTTGCAGCGCTCTCGCCGCCTCAATATTGTCGCTATCTCTTGTATACAGTTGCCGCCATATTCCGCGAGAAGACGCCATATTACCGGAAATTTCCACCCCCTTTTATGTTGGCTTGTCGCGAACCGTCTCCGCGAAAACTACCCCCATAAAAGTTGACGACTTAAATCGCGGGGCGTATGCCCCGTCAGAGGAAAGAGGAAAACCTCGAATACTACTATAGCAAATACTATCTAAGATATTCTGAAATAGGTTGCTTTACTTTAGAGAAAAAGTTTATTGAGGAATTAAATGATGATTTGAAATATTCCAAAGAAGATAGAAATTTTATATTTTCAAAATCATAGCATGTGAATAATAAATATTACATTAAAATTAAGACATTTTTATTTTAAATCTCTTTGAAATCGTTAAAAGCAAGTGTAAAGAAGATTACTTTATCTTATAATTTTATTTTTTATAAATATATTAGTATAATAATTTGTTTGATATAATATAATAATTTTAAATATATTATTAAACATTTACAATTATAATCATTGTTAAATCAATTACATAAAGTATTATATACAAACTTCAAATGACAAATTTAGATCATTGTCGATCAAATTAGAAATCAATTTCGTGACTTCCTTTCTTCTTAAGAACGTAGATCCAACGAGACGACGAATTTACAGTCGCATTGGGGAACTTTCCAACCAGGATCGTCATGAGAAAGACATTCGATTATGATTCCGTGAAACTATATCATCGCCGTCCATAAATTCTGGGCTCGCGCAAAAGCAATCTGCGCCGGCGGTGATCCTAATAACCGTGCGGCCATTCGTTCGCCCGGTAGAGTGAGTCGTAATCCTAACTGAAAGACACTCGGTGGAAAAGAAGACGGAAAAAGGAACGACCGAAGTGGCCGTAATGAAGTAGATCGAGATAAATATGGAAAGGAGGGCTTAAAGTAAATGGCGATCTCAGCCACGGATCCCGTCTCAATATGCTTGAAAGTGTCTCCCGCTGACGTGGCATTTCAAAATTAAATATTCGATCGATTAGTGGACACTCATGACTGATAGAGCGACACAAACATTGATGAATTTTTATTTCGGTAACAGCGATAAAAAGACGCGAAATTGCTTTAAAAGGAGACCGGAATCGTTTCTCATGATAAAATAGAGAATAAAGATAGGATATAAAATATATGGAATATGATTAATATAATATATAATAAATATAATATATATATATATATATATATATATATATATAATAATGTTTTTGATATTATAAAATATTGTAATATTTATTTCAATCATAATCTTCAAACTGAATGCACTAATTTCGAGTTTTATTGAAATGCAAGCGCTTCTAAATAAATGAGCGCGCCTCGGCGTCTAGGCTTTTGTGGCTAATATAACCGATGTATGTATAAGGCCGCGGCGTGTAAGGGGCAGGGGTGCATAAATATGTGCGTATGCGTCACCGCGCGCATAAGTGCCGATGAGGGGATTTGTAAATGATCTTAACGCTTCGCGTCAATCATTTACGTGCCGTTCCGACACGTACGCGAGTACGCTCGCATACAGAAAAACTGGAAGGTTTCGACTTTCAACGAGGTTTTGTTAGCCAGTCAGACAACTCAATTTTTCGACTTATTCCGTGAATACTTCCGTTTCGATGCGGATTAAAGAGCAAACTTTGGCGAGTATATTTTCTCGGGAAGTTTCAGTTACGGAAAGAAGAATCTGCGTGCGCTGTAAACAAATTTCTCTCAAATATACGATATTTGGTTATCGAGAAGGTACAAGAAACGTATATATTATTGTAACTTTTAATCTTTAATCGTGATACCACGGAATTACTTTCAGTTATTTTTTAAATTATATTAATATAATAAAATAATTATATCGTAAACCTATCAATCGATTAGTACTTATTGCTTCATACTTGTCAATATGATGTTTTGATCGAGAAAAAAACCAGGATTGCACCAACACGACGCAATGCAAGGATCTAGAAGAAGATCCTACGGGGAGAAGTATATCCTTCCGATGATATATGTATACCGGGGGCACGTTACGCGGTAAGGTAAAGTTCTCTCAAGACGCCGGAAAGCGCGCGCAAAAAGAATCTTTCGGAAGACGTTGCGGCTGCGACGAGAAGGGGCGAAATTACGTCAAAAGTCTCGAGAATTTATCGGAGCACTTTTTAAACTCCGCCTTCGCGCGATTAGCATATTATTTCTATGGAAGCCGGAGAGCGAGCAGAAAGCGAGAGAGGAAGAGAGAGGATGACGCGCTCGCGACTCTCCTCTATATCGAGCTAGAAAGAAGGTGGGTGCGGGGAGCATATCAAATATGTTGATAAATGATCCCTTTGAGCGATGAATAGGCGGCGTCGGGGTTCGTACGTATCCTTTTTCGTCGGCGGCGGCCAACATTTGAATGTCAGAAGGAGCGCCGCAACGCGACCGTTTGCATTGGCGTTTTCTCGATATCTCTTTCGCCCCGACGAGAACTATCGCACACAACTACGTCGTCGTAGATTCCTCGTCGTAAATGCTCGGCTGGAACGAAACGCGAGGAATTACGCAAATAGATATTCGCGATGCGAAGCTGGTTGAATCTTATACTCCGGCCGACAAAATCACCCCTCTGTGAATTTATTTACTATTTTATTAACGAAATATCATGTTTAAGTAACTTTCAAATTTACAGTGGACAATGCAGGAAAGAATTTCCCAAGATGAATGGTCGTATCCCTTCGAGATGAAAAAGACAACACTGAATTTTTCCTTTGATCCTAAGATCTTTGCGGAACCTCAGAAAAGACCGGAAGCCCGTTCACGTTGGGCACGTTGATGCAAAACACCCGTATTTCCGTCCCACCAATCAGTTCTGACCGCTCGTCCTTTGGTAATCTACATACGATTGGACACAAAAGATAACGACAATTCCGAGTTTTTGATACAGAATATCTATTACAAAATATCATATATCAATGCGTCATGCTCCGTGAAATTAAATGCATATTTCAATAATCGTAACCGTTAGCAGATTTCGCGATATTTTGCGTATCGGTAAATATGCGAGAAATTAATATCCAAAATTTAATTAACATAATAAAAGGAATATTGCAGTAACACGAAAATAACGTAAATATGCGTAAAAGCTTTGCAAGATTTGGTACAAGATTAATTTAATTTGCATCACACTAAAAAATATGCATACAATTATTTAATTTTATCAATATTAATCTCCTGTTACATAATGTATAATATTAAAATATGTACATAGTTATATGCAACATATAGGCAATATAAAATATTAGATTCTTTGGCAACATTACATTTAAAATTTCTTGTTTCTAATTTGTAAAATACCCATTATTTATCATAATTTTCTTATTTTAGCATTAACAAATCTATTCAAATAAAATATTTTGAATATATTTTGAAAATATTTTGTCTATTTTTTCCTTAAAGTTAATTCTCTATAAGTCGTGTATTCTCGATTTTTAAATACATTACTTGAGAACAATAGAACATTTTCTTTGAAAAAAAAATGATTTTTAATTAATTAAAAATTTTGTTATTAGAGGTATAGTATATTAATATAATTATAAAATTTAAATGTAATATAAACTTTTTTTAATACATTTTCTTCCATTTCAATTTTTCTACAGATCATTGAACTAAAACTTTTTGTAGGAACAAAATTATTTTTTCGTAGGCAGTAATAGTCGCATTATAATTATTCAAATAAGAATAACAAATTAATACTAGTACAGAAATATAAAAAAAAATCGATATAATGTAAAAGAATATTTTTTTATTAAAAAATGAATATTTTAAATAATCAAAATAATATTTTAATATACGAATTAATAAAAAATTTGTTACCAATTAAAAACATTTCTATTTATATCATAATTGATAATATTACGTATACAATAACATATATCGATGAAATATCGATAAACAAGAACTATTCTTTACCGATACTCGTGAATATATGAAAAATTCAGTTATCTACACTTCGTAACATTTACCGACAGTACTCACCACTTTGATGCTCCTGAAATTAACTCGTGTGCATTTGAATCGGCGCAGGATGATTCCCGTGAATTCCAATCGCCATATTGCAAATTGAAAATGTTGAAATCGTCTGATAAACGAGCCATTACAAATCATTTTTTTTTCAATTCTAAATCACAATGTTATAATGTCATAACTCTCGATGTCGTTACGCTAAAAAATTGAGAGAAAACGGAAAAATACACTTGCGATCATCTCTTCAGCAAAATGTCCTCGAGCAATCGAGATGATACCGGAACGAGCTCGTCCGCCCACGATGAGAGACTTCCGCTAGATTGGCCCTATCGATCTGTCTTTAAATAAAGAAACTTTCGACTTTCAAGCGCGCTTGAGAAAGTCGGTCGGTTCACCGCGCGCGCGCGCGAGCGCGCGATGTTGAAAATAAACGCGGGGATACGCGACGTCACGATAACCGGTCGACTATTTTCGAACGACGCGACGGCTGCTCCCCGGATGACGAGATCGTGACTATGCACACGCGTCGCGACTAAGGAGACGCAACTGTTCTAAATCGTTTCCTTTTCGTTCGACACACGCGACGTTCGACGCGAGGAGAACTCGATTCGAGTTCAGATCGCGACGCAGGTTACGCGATCGGCGGCATGGGAACTAATTTGCGTAAATGTGCATACGAAACGATTCGAAAGACGAATCATCGCGATCGTGAGTGAAGATTCGACGCGAAAATAGATGCATTCGGCGCGTTCGCGCTGACACGCGACGAAATTTTCCGCGGCTCGGGTCAGCACGCGAGCAATACGCGAGCAATTAATATAACGAGAAAGCCACTTTCGTTCAGTCGTAAAAGTTCAAAAACTGCGAGAAGTTGATCATATTAGACTGATCAACGATAACGATTTCGCGCGGAAAAGGACATATTCAGGGTATATTGAATCGAGAGAATCGATCATCGCGCAGGTGTGGCGCCGCATTCAAAGGTATCCATAAATATGTCGTCTGTATATTTTATTTTATCGATATTCTTTTTCGATATCCTTTTATTTCTTTTATGTCCATTTCTACTAGTATAGATTAACTTTAATCTTGATTTAATTTTTTTTTAATTTCGAGAATCAGAGAAAAAGAAAAAAATTATAAAGAATAAATTAAACCGAGATTAAAATTATTTTACTCATTTATTAAAATATATGTGATTATATATATATATAATGATTATATGACAATTATGTATTAATATATGTATATTTATTATTATATATTTATATATAATTGTATATAATTATAACAAATTATAAATAAATTTTTTATCGGGCAGTGCTGCTTTATTATTGTCTACTTTTCGAGTTTAAGATTTATATTTCTATTTGATATAAATTGAGAAGACGTATGAATAAAAATAACAATTATCTGACTGGATAAAAAAAGATCACAAGCTGCAGAGATCACATATAAAAATTAAAAATGAAAACGATTTATGCTGATCGTGTTTTATATTTTACTTTAATATACTTTAATAATACATACATGTTTTTTTTCTACATGAAAAATATACTCGTTTTCCCTATATTTTATATACGTTATTTCTCAGTAACGTCGTCTTCAGGGTACAAGGTAAAAATTTTCCTTCGTACAATCGTCGCGCCATGCGTAATGGAAAGTAATCGATAATATCCGTCGTGAATGTATCGTGATAGCTGCCGAATGTCAGTCGACCGGCGAAGCGCCGCACGGCGCTTATTGGGGTTTATTCTGACGCGGTGAGGCGAAAGGTTATGCGCTCATATTGTTCATAAAATAAACATTGTTATCCGCGTTATTTTCAATCGTTCTGCCGATCCTCGGAAGACGCGTGATGGCCGCCCGATCGTTCGTTCCTCTGCTCCTCGTCGCCGCTCTTGCCGCATCGCTGCCAATCTTGGGTGACACCGCCTCCGCGCACATCCACACGCATCAGCACAACAAAGTCGACAACAATGAGAGGACGGAGGACGGGGCTTTCAGTCCTCGTGATGCCGACCACTATGCGGAGGGCGAGCATCATCAGGAATTCGATCATGAAGCCATCCTAGGTGAATAAGATGACTGGATATATTAAATATTCAAGATTCCTTTTTAAGATTCTCTTAATGTTCCCATGAATTTTGTAAATTTGCTTCACTTTCATATTTATGGATAATAATTGAAAGATTTGCGAGTATATCTTATATATATATATGTCTCTGTCTTTTTAAAGCTCTAAAATTTTTATGGAAAATGAATGTTTTTATGAGGAGAAAAAGGAGAATTAAATTTATCTTTTTGTTGCCATCTAACATATTTGAATTTGTTTGAATTTGTTACTTTGAGTATTTTGTTTCTTGTACAAAGGAAGTGTAAAGGAAGCAGAAGAATTTGACAAACTTCCAATAGAAGAATCAAAGAGGAGATTAGGAATTTTACTAACCAAGATGGATCTGAATAATGATAAATATATAGAGAGGAATGAGTTGAAAGCCTGGATTCTACGTTCATTTAGGTAATATTGCTAGTATTATATTTATCTATTTAGTTTACAAAAGATTTAGATTAATTAAATTTTGTTAACAGCATGCTGTCTGCAGAAGAATCTCAAGATCGTTTGGAGGATGCTGATACAGATGAAGATGGTAGAGTAAGCTGGGATGAAATTCTGCAAGACACTTATGGCAGCGACCCTGAAGATCTAGCTCTTGATGATAAATTGATCCAAGATGACAAGCAGACATATGAGGCTGCTGATTTGAACAAAGATGGTTATTTAGATGCAGAAGAGTTCAAAGCTTATACACATCCTGAGGAGACACCTAGAATGTTCCCACTCTTGTTGAAGCAAGCTTTGGATGACAAAGATATAGATGGAGATGGATACATTAATTTCCAGGAATTTATTGGTGACAGAGGCAAATCGAAGGATAAGGAATGGTTGCTAACTGAAAAGGACAAATTTGATTATGAACATGACAAAGATGGAGATGGCAGGCTTGATTCGGATGAAATTCTCTCTTGGCTTGTACCAAGTAACGAGTAAGCTATATTACAATATTATAAAATTTCATTACAATTTATGCAATTTTTGTATTTCCATTGATTATTAGAATTGTTATTTTAAATAATTTTGAATAATCAGATAAATTTAACTTTTAATGATAAAAGTTTTTTATTTTTATTTATTAAGAAAGAAATTTTATTGAAAATTTTCTTTTATAAATTAATTATTATAAAAAATTTAAATGATTTTTGTTATATTGCCAATTTTATTGTGTAATATGCATGATAATTTAATTTCATTTTTTATATCTTTATGTCAATGTTTATTTCAGAGAAATAGCAAATGATGAAGTGGATCATTTATTTGCGGGTTCAGATGATGATCACGATAATAGATTATCATATGATGAAATTTTGGATCATCATGATGCTTTCGTAGGTAGCGAAGCGACGGACTATGGTGATCATTTGCAAGAAATTGAACGTTTCAATGATGAACTCTGAGAATCAGCTATCAGTCAAGCTGATAATACTTGTTATCTTTCGTAATACTCATCAAAGATATGTGCAAATGAAAATATTTTTAATACACTGCTCAAGACACATTAATGAGACCATTCTTTTAAAATTCTATACTTTTTAATTCAAATATACATCAATGTTTAAAAAACTAAAATACTATATTTATATAAATATATTTATCATATATTAAAATTATGTAAGAAAGATCCGAAATCTGCTAGATTTACTAAATTATATATTTATTTAAGAAAATGTTCTAGTAATTGTTTTGAGCAGTATATTTCTCAATATATATTATTTCTGCATCTCCCTGTCTGTTCTTATCTGTTTCCATCTATTTATGCTGTCATTAAAATAAATTTCTATTTAATGATAAGCCATACACAGCATAGAGGATTAATGAAACCTGCATATCTTGATATTTATGACGATTCATAGGTAGTATAGCGCTACATCTTCCAAACTATCGTCTTCCAGTTTTTACCAAATATGAGTGCCATAATAGGAAACGCGAAGAAAAAAATATATTAGGGCAGCAAAAAGTCTCTTGTGCAAATAATGATTTTCATCAATGTTATCCTATATATATTATTATATATATAAACAAATGTATATATATTGCATGTAAAATATCTTTTTCTCTTCGCGACACAAAATAATTTTTGTAGGCGATATTAAATGACTTGTCATTTTTTTTTTAATGTGTGCATTATTCATAAAATAAATCTTCAATAAATGACATGCACATTGATTTCTAATAAAATATTTTAATGATTCCACGTTTTTCTTTTTATTTAATTCCTTAAGAAATGTCTTGTCATATGTGTACATATACTATGGAATAGTATCAAATCTGAAATTATGCACTTTCAAGAGTTTAGATTTGTAATTTTAGATATTTATAGTTTATGTAGAAAAATTATAATTTTATTTTTAAGATTATTTTAATAAATTGAATTTAAAAAAATTTTTTAAATATACATACACACGTAATATGAGTTATATATTCATTATCCCCTCCACATTGAATAATTTGATGCAGAAGTGCGCTACTATCCATTTTCGTGTATATGACAAGTATATAAAACTAGAGTTCTTATAATTTTCCTTATAAACGAGAAACGGTTAATTTGATAGGATAAAATGCCATACGCTAATCAACCATCAGTTCATATTTCGGATTTAACCGAAGAAAATGTCAAGTTTCAAGTGGAAGATACCGAATTGAGGTGAGACCGATTAGGTTAAGTTGAGTTGATATTAAAAACGCACAAGTGCAATTAATATATAATTAATTTCTTCTTCAGTGTTGCAAATAGTATGAGGCGTGTATTTATCGCCGAAACTCCGACTATGGCTATTGATTGGATACAACTAGAAGCCAATTCTACCGTTTTAAGTGACGAATTCTTGGCACACAGGATTGGAATGATACCGTTGATCAGTGATGATGTGTGTACATGCATATTTATTTGATATACATAATACATTTTTACCAAGAATTAAACAAATTTTTCTCAAAAATTGGAAACAAATAGGTTTCAAGAATCAAAAAAATGCTTTAATCACATTATTAATACAAATAAAATCTTGTTATGTCAAAACAATATCATATATAACTTGTTTAAGAAAAATTTTCTTTTTGTTTAGGTGGTTGACAGAATACAGTATACAAGAGATTGCCAATGCATGGATTTCTGCCCAGAATGTAGTGTAGAATTCACTCTTGATGTTAAATGTACTGAAGATCAAACTAGACTTGTAACTACTGCAGATTTCAAGTCAAGCGATCCTAGAGTACTACCTGTCACATCTAGACACAGGGAAGATGATGCAAGTGAATATGGAGAGACAGACGGTTTGTATCTTTGTATGATAATTATTATCAAAAATAAAAGATCTAAAAGGTTTGTGTTTGGAATCTTTCAGAAATTTTGATAGTGAAGCTAAGAAAAGGACAAGAACTGAAACTTAGAGCATATGCAAAAAAAGGTTTCGGAAAGGAGCATGCAAAGTGGAATCCAACCGCTGGTGTAAGCTTTGAATATGATCCTGATAATTCCATGAGACACACTTTGTATCCAAAACCAGATGAATGGCCCAAATCAGAGTATAGTGAATTAGAAGAGGATCAATGTGAGTATAATCTTAATAGGAAATCAAAATTTTGTATAATTAACATACATATCATATTAAAGATATATTTATCTGTATATTGTATATTTGCACATTATATTTATAGTTTGTATGTTTATATTGCAATATATTTTTTAGACGAAGCACCATTTAATTGGGAAGCTAAACCAAACAAGTATTACTTTAATGTGGAAAGCAGTGGGGCTCTAAAACCTGAGAACATCGTCATGATGGGGATAGCAGCGTTAAAAAACAAATTGTCAAATCTGCAAACGCAATTGAGCCACGAGGTACAAAGCGATGCATTGAGCATTCATCATTAAAAATAAATTTTAATCTGTATTTACATATATATATATATATAATAAAATTAAATAATTAATTTTTTAGTATTTAAATAAAGCAAAAGAAAATTTACGTGTTGTTAAATGATTCAGTCCCTTTGGCAAAAACCAAAAAAAAGTATAATTTTAGTAAAAAGTCATAATTAAACATTTTTTAAACTCGTACCGGAAAATTTCTCAGAGAGCGCCACAAACGCTGACATATGAAATGCACCTCTCGGTTGTGATTATAGCCAATGTTCTGACATTGGTTCAAAACAAAACGTCGAGTCGAGCGCGCGTTAAAAATGTCAAATTGAATACTTATCACTGTTTTGAACAATGTGTTTTAATAATCGAGATAACAAGTTGCTAATGAAACAGAATATATTTAGTACCTCGATTGTTTCGTACAATTAATTCGATTGAACCGGATACCGGTTTTAACATAATCGAGAGTGAACTGATCGAGCGCGTAGCGTAATTAAACTTCAATAGAATGGCTGTCAAAGAAAGATCAGCCGAAATCGTATTCGACGAGATAGAATGGAATGTGGAAAATGAGATTCAACTTTTTTTGCCATGAATGGACACAAGCCAGTCGGTAAGATGCGAAATCCGGGAGAGAGGTTATGTTTATTTATATCTATATTTTATCGTGTCTGATTAACTTGATCGATGATTGATTAATTAGTGGGATCGCATTAAGCGAAATTTCTAGTTACATAATTTGTTGCCCACAATGTAATTTTGTTTCATAAACAAAAAATTGATTCTATTCATATTTATTTAACGAAATAATATTCAATGAGATAATCGTTGATAATTAATTAGACTTTAGTTAAAATTTCTTAAAAACTTGCCATTCTTTGCAATTACAATTTAATGGATTAATTGTAATTTTAATTATAAGGTGTCAACAAATACTTTCACATGGTGTGTATATGGGAGAAATTTCGTGCTGCTATTCACAAGGATGTTCCATTGAAAATGATTTGGGATCATTTGGAGTCTATGTATGATCTTATGGCATTGGTAAGTGACAACGTAAAGCAGGGATATGCAATTAATGATTCATAGAAGATATGAAAAATAAACTGCTTTATTCCCATGTGGCAATTCCTGGTTAATGCAAGGAAAGCAATATATATATATATATATATAGGCATATATAAGTTCTACATTTAGCTGTGTGGTCTGCGTATAATCTCAAATTTCACATTTGATCCATTAAAAATTTAATTGTATATCCTTGAAAAAAAAATGAAAGGATTAGGATGAAAATATTTGTATGAAAATTGAGTTGTTTTATTGATTTAATTATATGATTTTTTCCCATTTTTGTATAATAAAATATATCAAATTGGAGTTGTGCTTGATAATTAGGACAAATAAATTTCAATAAAATTATTTTGCATATGTTTTATATTGAATTAAATATTTGATTTTAGGATGACATGGAAGATTTACCTTTCCCTGGTCAAGAGATAGACTTTTCTCTACCAGAAACAGAATTTGTAGGGAAGCCTCGAAAGAAGGAGGAATTAGATATCAAATTGAAGGATCAAAGGGACAAATACAAAGAAATTAAGAAAGAAAAAGATATTAAGGAGAGTTTGAAGAAAGATAGTGTGCTACGTGATTTTAAGGGAACCAAAGATATAGAAAAGAAAAAGAGGAGATCAAAAAATATGTGAAGGAAATGGATGTAAAAAAAGATAAGTTTAAGGATATGAAAGATACAAAAAAAGAACACAAATCTTCGAAGGGTCGTTCAAAAGGCAAGGAGGAATCAGAAGAGAGTGGTATTTTAATAAGCATATTGTAGTTTCGATTATTTAATAATTTATTAGTAAATAACCTGCATGTATAAATCATATGTCCGTTTGTTTTAAGCATCGAATGGAAAGAAGGAGCGTAAGGATTCTGAATCTGGTCGCGAGCTGATGAAAAGGATTCCTAAAAGACCAACCAGACAAAGTGTAGATAGTTCTTCTAAAGCTTCTTCCAGTCCACGCGATACACCTCCACCAAAACGAAGACGAATATAACAGTTATAATTAAAAAGATGTTATGTTCATATTAAGTCTAACTTGTATAATTTATCATGTTATACTATTATAAGATGACATTGCATTCTTCTAACAATGAAATGTATAGAAATCAAGATTTTTGTAAAAGATTTTGTAAGAGATTTATGTTATGTAAATATATCATTAATTCTTTTTAAATGGCTTTATAAAATGGGATTCATTAGATCCTGGTAAAAGATTATTTCCAATCTATTAAAAAATTAAGATTTCATATTCCGAAATAAAATTATATGGTAATATTCCATTCTTTAAGAGAGAATTCATTCGTTTCATTCTAAATATAAAATATTTAAAATAATGCAATCAATATATATATACAAATTATATTCACATTTCGCAGGGGGAAAAAAACCCAAAAGATGCAGAGCAAAAACAGATATATTATCGTATTAATATTATAAAATTACGAGAAGTGCTCCATTCACAGTCTTAGATCTTATAAACTATGTTGGACAAAGGATCACAATGACAACGCCGTAAAATTTGTGGTTACCAGCCGAGATTTATTGTAAAAGTCGTGGAATTCTCATGCGTCAGGAATGTTTCCAAGAAAAACGTGGTCCCGTCCCGCGATCCAGTGTCTTCTCAAGAAACACGTGCTAGGAATGCTAGGAGTGCCCATTATTGATGATTGACAATCTATGATCCATCCACATGGAAGGGATTCACATTCGGAAAATGCATCAGCTGGTGAAGTCCAATGGTGATGGTGGTAACGACGATAGTGGCTGGCGACCCAAGTCTTTTTCCGAAGCTATTGAAGCTCACGTTATCGAAGTCTTCTCGCTTCACGCTCGGACTCGAGTAAGGTTAGGAGGTCGCCTTCTCGTACCGGCCCCTTCACATTCCTGATGATCTGCCGATTCTGCTCGCCCAGGAATTCCACCTTCACCTGGGTGCACTGCCCCTGCGAGCCGGTGCGACCCAGGACCTTGATGACGCGCGCCAAAACGACTGGTTTATCCATACTGATCGCCTCTCTCTCACGTGGATTGCGATTCGGAAAAAGTGCTCAGCGCAAATGAAAGAAAACGCGTACATGAGCCGTCCGAGCCGCGTGACTTTGCCGTTCGATTTCCGGTGAGTCGCTACCATCTAGCATTTAAATAATAATACTGGAACGCGAGAATTGTATAATTAAATTATATATAATTAAAATTAAAAAACACATTAATATTACTTACTTATGACACAAAAAGAGTTATGTATTTTAGTTCATTTTTTTGGTAAACAAATTGGCGATTCTGTCGAAAACTAATTAATTAAAAAGTTAATAATTAAAAAAAATATTGATAATTGCTTAGGTTCAGCATCTCCTTAAACCTTAATATATATACATAAGTAGCCAGATGAAATTAATTACTTGGTAAAACTAATGTTATTATATTTTTTGTATATTTTTACTAAATTTTATTATGCACTTAAATATATAGAATATTATTTATATATAGAATATATAGAATATAGAATATTCAAAAATCAAATATCATAGAAATATCATAGAATATTCCACATTAATATTCGTCGCGTTATTTCTATCCTCTCTCGTCAGAACTTGTACTTTTTAATCGTAAAATATTATGAAGCTGTAGAAAAATATATATTTCTATTCATTTCACTTGAATAACATACGTTTGTACATATTTTTACAATATGCTAAAATTATTTATCTCAAATAACGTTATATTTCGAACTATTCACAAATAAATTTATTCGAGATTTAGAAAAATGTTATTCAAATTAAAAGGTTCATTGGGAGAGATATACTAGTAAAACTTATTGTCAAATTTAATATTTTTTTTTAACGCTTCTGTCGCAAGTTTTCATTCATTGTACTCAGCATTTGATAAATAATGATAAATAATACAATAACTAAATTACAATAAAATGTCATTATATTTTGACACAAGTACACTATTTTAATTATTTATAATAATTCATATAAACAACAGCTTGATATTGTAGGCAACAATTAAGGTGAGCTCTCTTAAGTCTCTCTTAGTATAACTTCTATTGATTATCGGAAATCACTTAGAGTGATTATATCTGTTTACATTAATCTGTTTACGCAAATACTTGTCAAAAATACTGCGTCTCGCTATATCCGTACATACAGTGTTTTATGCACCGCGCTTTTCTTCTCGACTACAGGTTCCTTGAAAAATTAAAATTTGATCTTCTGACTTTATATTAATAATCAACTCACATTAAAAGTAAAATAAGATAAGACGAAGAATACAGCTGTTATTTATTCACGTTCCTGAAGCTTAACTTATCATAATATAGCTTTATATAAAACCTGTAATTGAGGAAAATATGTGCAATGCCCTGATAGTCCATATAATTATCATTAACGGTCCTTTGAAAGACAGGTTGTGATTATACACCTAAGTATAGTAGTGCCTCCCATGCTAAATAACTTTATCTTCGCATGCTTTTATGAATACAATATGTATTAATAAAGAATATTGTTTGCAATTTGTTTTCTGTCATGATATACAGCAATTATAATCAATAATTTATACAGTTATTAAATTATATATATTATCTGATTATCTGATTGCAAAATCTTTTAATCGACTTTAATCAAAATTTTCTTCTTAAAGAACATTTTATACAATATATGATTTTTTACGTATTATTATTTAACTAAAATTGTAGTATCTAATCGAAATGTTTCACAATCCTTAGCACCAATACACGACTCACGAATTTTTTTCACACAATTCACAGATATAATAATATAAATCAACTGCTGACTTATTTAAATCATTTTATCGCAACAGTAATATATTCTATATCTTATTCAAATATAAAATGCGATGCATCTCTCGCATTTATGTTATCTTGTATTTATTTACGAATACAGAATAAATGTGGACACATATTGCACGTGTCGAATATAATAAAATATCTTAAAAATAAATTGAAGATCCAAGTCTTTTTACACTTCAAACGGAACTTGTACATATAGATGTACATTTTTATTTAAATCAGCATTTGAAATCGGTATAATTCCAGTCAACTTAATTTTCGATCGTATGTTCAATACAAAAAAATATACTTTACGCCGACTCGCAGCATTTCCATGAAAAAAAAAATTTGCACAACTATAACAACGAAATCCAAATTATAATCATAATTATACCGTTTTTCACCACTGACATGATGGAATACTTTATTATTCTGAAATGGACCCTGGTATATATTTTAATTGCAATTACAAAAGCTCTTATTGTAGCAACATAAGATTTGCACCATGAGATACACATTTAGTGTTACATGAAGAACTCGTTACAATCAGTCAAATTTATTCTTATTTCGTTTCTTCCCAACAATAACGTTGAAAGCTGATAAAGCTTTCAAAGAAAAATATGTATCTACTCGAAGTATTATAAACATATAATGTTTTATGTTTTGAGATAGCATTCGAGTAGTTGCTCTTTTTTTCAATTTGTGTTTCCAATATTACTTCTATTACTTTCCAAAACACTGTCCAACGGGTGGACATGGAAATGGTTACATTTGGATAATAAACAATCGACACATTAATATACAACACTGAATGAGATAATCAACAGGCTAATAATATTCGCAATAATTTTACTGCCATAAATTGGTGGAAAGAGTTTGCCCTGGTAGTGTAGCAGTGGCAGGTTTGCTTGCTGTAGAGGCAAAATTCATATCACTCAAAGACATCTGTGACATTTGTTGCGGCAACTAAAATGAAGTGTCATAAATAACATTGATTCAGTTAAATAAAAGTAATAGTAATATAAAGTTTTGTTGTAATTTTGAAAACATACTTGATTTATATTTATGTCTAGAAACTATGTATTATTGTGTAAATTATACAAACAAAGCATTATTGAAATTTACATACCTGAGCAAATGCTGTAGTTTGTGGTTGTTGCGCTGCTAAATTAAAGAAGGGATTGCTGCCAGGTGCCGGTTGAATATTCTGTGTCAGCATTCCACTCCATCCATTATTACTAGCAATATTACTTTGTCCTAACTGCATCATCTGTAAAATTGGAAAGAGAAAATTTAAAGTATAAAAAACAAAAACTGATAATTATTATATTTGGCAATATCACGCAAGAAACTTTATACCATTTGAGGTGGCATTGTGATAGCAGCATTCGGTACACCATTTAGTTGATTCATTTGTCCTATGTGTAAGCCTAAAGGATTGGCTGCTACAGCACCTATCGAATTAGGATTTGCTATAATTTGATTTTGATTGACAGGTATCTGATTTGTAACTGGTATTTGCGAAGGAAGTTGGCCGAGTTGATTCAAAGAACTTTGTTGTCCAAATGCACCTACATTAGGCATTTGCTGTTTATATGATATAGAATGTTGAGGAGTCTGGAACATTCCTAAAATATAAGTCAATATTAGAAAACACAATTTAATTATATAATCCTATTAATATTATAAATAATCATTTCCATCTTATACGTTACCTGCAACGCCATAAACCACTGGTTGATGACTTGGAGTGCCATATAATGCTAAAATACTGTCTTTCGTCAGTTTACTTTTTTCCTGAGATAGCGAGGTTGGTTGGTCAAAGAAACTTTCCTCTTCACTTTTACTTGTAGTAGTAGTTGTTGTTTTAGTTCCATTGGCAGCATCATTTCCAGTCAAAGCTGATGCAGGTGGTGCAGACAAAAAGGAAGAAAATACATCGTCACCAGAACCATTTACATTTGTTTGGTTAGTTGCTGGTGCATCTGTCAATAACAATGGTATAACAAAAATTTATATCCTATTAATTATATAAAAAATATAGCAACAGTTAAAATTAAAAGAAATAAAACATGTTCTACGAATATATTCTGGAAAAAATCGATTAAATATTTTCAAGTAAAAATACACGTTTTATTTGTACATGATTATTTGTTCCATGGATAAGATTTTCTTATGCAAGATTAATCATTATTTATCTTATCTACTTTTAACTTCAGTCAGTATCACTTTTAACTTCAATATCAGTTAGAAAATGATTTTTTATTAAATTGTATTTTCCAAATTACAATATTTAAATTAAATTGTTATGAAATCTAGAAATAATAGAAATAATAAAAAAAAACACATTCAGCAAGTATAGTTCTCAATTCATACATAATTTAGAATGTTAACTTATTAAAGTGTTTACTTTAATTTATTTTCATTTAAAAGTATTGTTTAGACTTTAATACAAAAAAAACTCTTTTTACATAAACAAATGACAAATCTTGAAATGTATATTGTATATGTGTGAATTTTAAAGCGCCTTGTAAAATACGTACCAAGCCCTAAGAGATCAAGGATTGCAGAACTTTCTTTTGTTCTATTTAATTTAGGACTGACAGAACTTCGAGGTTTTGGTAATTGAGGCACTATTTCTGGTTTTTTTACAGGTGGGAGTACACTGGTTGCTTCCGCACTCTCCTTTTTCCGTCTACGTTGTCTTTCAGCTTCTTCATCGAGTTCTTTGTCCCAATTCACCTATTTTTTATTAATCAAGAAAATTATTTATTAATCAGAGCAATAAATATAATGTAATCTTTGCATTAAAAAAATATTAAAACAAAGTATAATAATCATACTTTTGGTAAAGGAGGTGGCACCCATTCTCTAGCTATGTATTTTTTATGTTCATATTTTGCACGAATAAAACTTTCTAGGCTACAATCTGTTTGAGGTCTTCGAAAACTATCTGGAAGATTTGCCTCATAAACTGCTCTGGCTCGAGAATTGCCCATTTGTTGTAAGCTCTAGAAATTTAAACAGGATTGTATTTGTCATATAAATTAGATGCAGATTTTTAATAATTGTACAAAAAAATTATATAAGAGGTAAAAATATAAAAAAATCTAAGTTTCAAAATATTAAAATTTCTCTCAATTATAAAATATATATTTTTAAAGAGCACTTAAAATATAAAATTTATAAAAAAATAATAATTGATTTTGAATAGAAAAAATGAAACCATAAAAATAGCAATTTTTCCATAAAAAGTCAATAAATATTAAAAATTATTTATATCCATTTCTCTAAGCAATTATATTTTATTGTATTATTAGTTTGCAAGTTTACATTTTAAAATATTATATGAAAATGTGATAAACTGTATATATGTATATAAAATCATCTTTCATTAAACAATTAGTATACATGAAATATACATCTATTACATACCACTACTTGTTCTGGTGTCCATGTGTCTAGATTAACAGACTTAACTTTACTTATATGTACTCCAAGATTTCTGTGAATACCAGCACATCGAATACATAGAAAGATCCCCAAATTCCAGCTAGCCCATCTTGGTCCTGTAAAATACAAATTCATCAAAGCTATCATAAAGAATACTGTTATCTCCTGTCTATGAATTCTGCTTGAAAATAACACTAACACAATGACAAACAACCATTAATAAATATACCCCGCAGCTTCGTCAACAAATCTATCTAATATCCACAACCATTAATTATGAGTTTAATATTTGATAACACATCAAGTCATGCAAGAGATATGTTTTTTTCTTTCTTCAACAGAATCTATCAATTTTCGAGGGAAGAAGAAAGAAATAGAGGGAGGCACACTCTGATTTTCAAGATAATATTTGAGCATAAAATTAACATGAAATTCTTAAAGGACCTTGACGATGTTACGCGCCGAGTGACAGCGCATTGACAGATGTCACGCGGAAATTAAAAATCCATAATGTCGTCTCGGTGCGTTATGTGAAACGCGACGCGCGAATCGCACGAATCGTCCCGTGATCGATATCGATGAGCCGAAGCTCGGAAACGAGCAATCCGAACGATACGGAAGAGAGAGAGAGAGTGAAAGAGATTTCACGAGGGAGTCGCGAGATTCCGCGAGCGGACAACCGCTCGCCGAGAGACGAGCGGTGGAAGACGAGAGCATCCATGTCGAGAGAACGAACCTTTCGCGTCACAGTCAACGCAATACTTGTTATCCTCATCGCGCAGCATCTGCGTCAGTAGATTTTGACATTTCTCCTGGATCTGCTTGGCACGCTCCTTCTCGTGACGGGATGTCATTTTTTTTTCCGAGAGCGTTGGCGTCTTCGCCGTCTTCGCGGAGGGATCGGGCACCACGCGCGACCACCACACCACCTCGGTGTCGCCTCCCCGCGATAACTTCGGGCAGAAGCGCGGCGCGACGGTACCACGTAACGAATTTCGCATGGAGGTCTCACTCGCTGTGGCGGCGGTGTCGCATGATGCCCGATACCAATGACTAGCCATCGCGACTGTAGATAAATTAATTTTGCATTGTTATCTAACGAGGCGAATTATCGGCTGAAAACATACGGACTCTTTCTCTCTTCAAGAGTTTCGAGGGATTATTCGAATATTCACAAAACGAGGATCGTTTAAAACTGACGGCGATCGTTTATGATCAATCAAATCATCCTTATCTGGCTTTTCATAAGTGAGCTGTTATCTAGAATAGGAAAAAGATTGTAAATTGATAAGACAATTATAGTTATACTTAACTAGCGTAAATAAACCAGATATAGTGAAAAGATCTATCAAAGTCGAAAGACTTGAACAGTCATATGATATGTATATTATTCTCATACCAATTTTTCTGTATAAATAGTTTTCTATATAAAATTATCTAAATATTTTTTGTTAAATAAAATTATTGAAATAAATTTTTTAAATTTTTGTAGAGAAAAAGAGAAAAGGCTAAATTATGAGTAAAAAAAGTGCGAGTTTAAAAAAGATGTTTTTAAAAGACATGTTATTCTTTAGATCATCTTTCATTTTTTTCTAATTTTTCTTTGGTTTTCCTTTTCTTGTTTCGAACGTTCCGTTTGACCACGTTGCAATTGGACATAGCTCTATAGTATATTGGAGTGAGCCTACCTTATATTAACTATAGAAAACCGCGGCCCAGCGGAGAAAAGGATGGGTATATTAAAGTTGGAATCTTTATCTCTTTTCTACAGTGTATTTATTGGTTAACCTTATGGTAGAAAAATAACATTAACCAATCTGAGAATCTCTTGACAAAGAGAGCGATATCAATTCGCATGTTATCTTTTTTAGTAAATGAGACATCACTTCTTCAAGGCTCACTTCAGTATATTATAGACAGCCACTTACAGCGACTGATGCTTGAGATCTTCCATTGGATTAACCAATTACAAAATTTTATTTAAATTGGCCAATCGGCAACGTGGCAATCGAGCGTCATTCATTTTTAGTGTACCAAGAAATGTCAAACTGATTGATTGATCAATTCAAAATCACTTTTATCAACTCACGATTAATTTAATCGGCCAATTATTCTTCTGGAATTGTCAATCGCAATTTGTCCACAAATATGACAACAAATACGATTAATTTAAATAAAATATATATTTGAAGTTTGACAAGAGCGAGATAGAAAGTTTTAGTGCAGAACAGAAAGTAAATCTCAAGTTTAGATTTCAATCTAAAATTATGTTTCAAAACGTCCTTTCTAAGGAAAATTTTATTCAGTGTATTATAATATATAGTGTAATATAATATAATATATACGTTATGTGTATTATATTTCGAATAAAATTTTCTTTTAGATCTAAAAAAATATACCAATCGAAGACAAGAGCTTAGCAAATACACGAAAAAAATATACGAATTCAGCTAGCAAACCAGCAGAAAAAAAGCGTCTGCCGCTAGGTTAAATGTGCATGAATCAGCAATAAGATCAATTTCACAGTTGTAAGGCTTTGTGTCCACGATGCTAGAAATCGGTCCGAGATCTCGGATGGAAAAAGAATTGACCAATCACATTAGTTAATTATTCAAACACAATTGGTCAATTCTCTTTCCACCTGAGATCTCGGATCGATTTTCAGCATCGTGGACACAAGGCATTAGTTAGCACTTTAACAAGTCTGTGGTACATCTGTATTCGATGTGACTAAGCAGCGGTGGCGCCCTCGGACGGCCACCTCCGTCGCCACGGTCAGCCATGTTGCTCCGTCGTAGTGGTCACAGATGGCTACGTGAAAGTCAACAACCGGTCGACAGTTTAGCATCACAGTCGGGATAATTACGTTACCGTGTCGTTATCGGTGATTTTCACATTTTTCCCTTGATCTCGCAACGATAGTATCGTGCATTGTAACATTTTTGCCGTAATATTTTTTTTCGTCCCGATATCGCGTCTCTTCCGTGCGGTTGTCGCGTCTCGTCGTTGTTCCGTTGTCCGACGACGTATCCAATCGTAAACGCCGATCACGGGCAAGACGATCGAGAATGAGCACGAACAACGTACAGGCGCTTTTCGCATGTTCCCGGTGTTTTTCCAGACATCCCTTCGAGGATCTCTCGCCCGGGCAACAATTGTGCAAGGTATGCACATCGCAAACGCGTATGTCGTCTTTTCCATGAGCTTCTCTTTTTAAATGGCCTTGATCTTGTCCAGGACCAAGCTAGAGATAGTTGTCCGTATAATTCCAACAAAATCAGTAATGAAAGACAAATCAAATATGGGTAACAAAAAAGAAAAACGAATTAAAGATTTTTGCGATAAGATAGCACATTCATATCGTTTAAGGTTTCCATTCAGATTTCTTGTTTTTGAATCAACATGAAGATTCTCGAAAGAATTCTTAAAGGATTTTAGGGTGAAAGAATTTTTGAAAAATTCTCATGCTAATTAAAACTACTGTGGGATAGAAATGATGATGTGTCATAGGAGTAAAACTCCTTAAATAAATATTTTTTTAGAAAATATTAACATATTGCTTAAATATAAATGTAAAATTGCAAATAGTTTTATATAAATATATTGCTTGAATATATAATTGAGGACAGTTCAACCATGATTCAGTAGAATGTATTTTTTCCATTCATAGCTCTTCTAGATAATTTCATAGTTTTTTATCATATAATATTGTAAAATAGATACATAGTTGCTTATAGCAACATAAATATTTGTTGAATTAATTAAATTTGGAATATTTGATTTGAATGCAGATTATTCTCAGAGAGAAAATTAGTTTCTTGTTGATTTTTTAAGTCTTTTATTAAAATATTATAAATGAAATAATTTTATTACAAGTTTCTTCTGATTAATCAATTATAAATATGTTGAATAAGATTGATATTTAATTAACAATATAGGTTAAATAGGACACTCCTGTATAAATATCCATATTGGCATATTATGTTAAAACTGCATCAAAAATTAAAATTGAAATATTTAATAATATTATATATGTATACAGTATATTTAAGAAATTTGTTGTTTGCAGGAATGCAGAGGAGCATTTCCAGTAGTAAAATGTACATACTGCAGATCAGAATTCCAGCAAACCATGTAAGTGTAAAAAAATATAATTTTTAGTTTCATAAAAGTCGCCTATAAGATGGACAAATATAATTGCTTTATTTCATTGTTTTCATAGAAAGGGTAACACAAGCACCATATGTAAAAAGTGTGAGCAAAATGTAAAGTCCTATGGGAAGCCGTCGGCTTGCGAATACTGTAATACCATTGCTGCATTTATTGGTAGCAAATGCCAGCGGTGTACAAATTCAGAAAAACGCTATGGACCGCCGGTTACTTGTGAGCAATGCAAGCAGAAGTGTGCCTTTGATAGACAGGATGAGGATAAGAAGGTAAAGCAAAGGCAGTATGCTTATAGCTCTCAATATTTGAAGGAGACGATCTCTAGCTGTGTGGCATAACTGCCAATATAATAATCAGAATTTATAATGAAATGTATTATCTTTTTCCACCAAATATTTTCCTTTTTTTTGTTCATGCAATTTACTCATTCTGAGAACCTAAATGAATTACTATGATGTGATTATATCTCGTTCTCTAGAGTTTAAATATCTTTTACATGATAATGAATATGTATATTCCATGAAAAATGTATGTATGAAATTAATTTTTAATGAAGTCTATATAAATATGCTTTGTATAAGATTTTATAAATCCAAGATTTTGTCCAACTTACTTCTAAATTATCGAGAGTAGCTGTGTATGCTATTTCGCTACAATATTTATATTTTCTGAGTCCATAGTTTGACTTTCTGTCACGACTTCTTTTCTTTTTTTAGAGAGCGAATAAGCATCAAGTGTAATTTCTACAGCTAAGACCTCTCTCTCTCTCTTGTTGGTACATGGTAATAAATTTATTCTATCGCAATGTTACTTAATTGGTTACGGTGATGTTTGGTTTTTAGGTAGATGGCAAGTTATTATGTTGGCTGTGTACACTGTCATATAAACGTGCATTGGCAAAGACAAAGCAATCAGATGCAGAGCGAAGAGCACATATGAAATTGGCACAACAGCGGGCTGCGAAGCACAAAGAACAAAAGTAATTATCCAAATACGTAATATCACAAGGTAACTCTGTGCTTAGTAGTTTTAATATTGTGCTTATACACAATTTTTCGAAACACATTCCGTGCAAGATGTACATTTGGTAAACATGCATTTTAGTTGGTATCAGCATAGTTATCGTTTGTTTCTCATACTTTTTGTTACAGATTGAAAGGTCACAATAAAAGACCGCATAGAGTCGATGTAACAAAATTGCCGCCACAATCCGAAGGCGGAGATACGAATGGTCCCACCCCTGTAAAAGCGGCGCGAATGGCTGGTGTACACGATCCGCACGATCCAAATAGCTCGGATCACGTGGTAGCGGTCACGCAGCTCAAAGAAAAGATCGCACATCTTCAAAAGCAAATCAGCATAAAAGAAAGCCAATTATTAGCGAAAGATAGACAAGTACGTGAATACGAAAGATTTTCAGAAAGTTATTTTGTAGAATAAACAAAATGTATAATACATAACTGACATTTTGATTATAGATTACCGAACTGAAAGCAAAGAACTTCACGTCAGAAACGGAATTGCGTAATAAGATGAAAGCATCAGAAAAAGAGTACGAGACAAAAATCTCCAACATGCAGCACAAGATATCTAGTTTGCTGAAAGAAGTAGCATCGTTATCGAAAACGTCCAAACGAAATGATAGAGTAGCCGCTACGAAGACAGAAGCTGGGACCAACAGTGGAAGTGGAACGGACAGTCCCGTACCTTGATAAGGTAGGTATGTCTGTTGCTTTCAGAATATCCACATTTTAATGAAACTATGTATTCAATAAAATTGGGATATTAACATGAAATCACTCGATGTATCTTGCAAATGAAAAGTCCCATTTTTCGTGTTATTTCCAGAAAATTGGTTAGCTGTAACAACATACTCAAATGACCATACCCATATAAATCATGTGATTATACATTTATGCATATAGTTAATTGTTTCCATTAACAAGACGAAATTGTATTATTTTTCTAATTACTATAGAAATGTATATTATTCTCTCAAAATGCATTGGAGAAAGTACTCGCATCTCCGTTTAGGGGAGATTAATGATTTTGCAAATGCAAAATTTGTACATGATTTAGACATAGTTTTCTTCCCTTTTATTTTTTGGCAATTGCTAAGTTTTGTGCGACTTTTTCGCCGGAGCTAGCGACTTTTATGACAAAAGACTAGGGAAATTTGAATAATAAAGATTGATTTTTTATCACGAAGAGTCGTGTGAAATCATTGAGGAAACTTCGAAGCAAATTTGAATTGATTATGTCTATAAACAATAAGTGACAGTTGTGGCATTTTATTATTTATGATGATAAATAATGACGATGATGTAAACGATGTGGAATCAGAATAGGGGGTGATCTGTAGATCAATTTGCAATAAAATTTTAAAAAACTTGTCCTATGGTTTCATATCCAGTTCTTGTCCACGTCCACATGTTCGTTATTCATTCTCCCCTTATATATGATTGTTATCAAGCGAAACGAACTTGTCCGTTATGAGCATCAACGTCTAATAAAATTATATCGGATTATACGATATAAATAGGTGTGTGATAGTGATATGTGCATATAAATATCCAACAGCCATATATTTATTCTTTATTTTAAGAAACAAATGCTAATTGAGCATTACCTATTCAATAATTATAATGATAATAAATGCGTAACAATTTCACTATATATATATTTATATATATATGTATACGAAGTGTAAGGATAATTAACATTTAATTTATAGTCGTTTAAATACGTACGAGCGCGTGCACGCGTGCGCGCGCGTGTGCGTGCACGGTACAGTTGGATCGTTATTACGAGATGATAAGAACTAAATATTGCTTGTTTGTTCTCGAGGCGGTTACTCGCTCTCGCTTGTCACTTCCTTTCGATATTTCACTACTTTCAGCGTATGTATTTACATAATCTTCACCGTTTGCTTCTTTTCGCGCTGCGCTATGTACCGCTCCTTTCTTCTGTTCTTAACGTCTCTATTTAGCGTTCAAAATCCTAAGCGCCTATATTTCTCCTCTAGCTCCGTTTTAACTTCGTTATTCGTAATAGTGCTCTCAAAATACAAGCAAAGCGGGAAATCGAGGCAATATACAGAATGACACTGGGTTGTGAAAAATCATTACCAGGAACTGTGATCATCGTCATCGAAGAAAATTTTATTATTGCTTGTAACGCGATATTATTGTATAACAGGCCTTGAAAAAACAATTTTCTAGGTCGTTTCTTCCATTTCGTTTCGCATCTCTTATCTCTTATGTTTCCAATTGTGAGTGTTATGTAAATTGTTTTATGGAGCGATAGTGGAAACATGAAAGCAGATTCCTTGTACAACCAAAGTTCCTGGAGCCCCCCCTGATCACGGCAGCGTCATTAGTATACTACTCGCTGGTATAGCGTTCGTTACGTTGTAAAAGAAATTTTGTTCATTGTTCATCATTCCGTAGAATGCCTGCGAATCGTCCACGTTGCCTGGTTATTAAAGGGTATATCAGCAAATCAGTGTAAAGGCCTTGTGAATCTACAATACATCGTCTCGCGTTCGTACTCGCGAATCCAGTTCGAACGCTCGTTAAACTTATTACGGTATAATTGCCAGGACGATCGAGGAGGAACTCTTCGTTCGAGTGCTTTTCGACGAGTGTCCGGCGGGCAGGTGGTGAATAGTATACGATAGGTATTCGGGGTATGGAGAAACGAGGCTCGTCAGTTTCGTAAAAATCTCGCACGCGAGCATCGCGGTTACAGTATTGGAGAAAGTGGTGACTTCGTACGTCCCATTACGTCCCAGTAGATGAACAAATTCAGTTAAAAACGCATTTCTTTGGATTTAAATTGTCGCGACTCTGCGTTGCAGCGATGGACGCGACGGGGAGATTTTTGCGAAACCGAAACCTCAGAAGATCTTGCGAAGGAAGCCGAAATTTAGAACAATAAGATAATACACTCCTTCATTCTTGAAAATCGCTCACTCTCATTCTCGCGCGCTCTTTCTCTCTCTCTCTCTCTCTCTCTCTCTCTCTCTCTCTCTCTCTCTCTCTCTCTCTCTCTCACACTCTCACTCTCACTCTCACTCTCTTTCTCTTCTCGCCTCGCACAGAATCGTATCGCGATGCACGTGACTCTTTAAAATCTCACAAACACTCGATAGCCGTGTGTATATCAGTCTGCGATACGTCCTTTAGATTGATACCCTTACGGAACGACGATTCGAAGACTTCTCGGATTTAAAAGTTCTTATCGTTTGTTTAAAAATTCGTATCGTTCGTTAAAAAAATTCTCGCCCTTCGCGATGACGAAATCCCGAAATCGTCGTTCAATAAGAATGGTTTGTCTCGCACCACGTACGGTAAGCTGCGCTCAGAATTAACTCGTTTGATCTAGCTTAGCATTAATGGAAGTACGAATTCGCCGAATGTGCGTAAAATCAATCATGGAAGCTACGAAAAAGAAACACAGCATTTTCAACGATTCGTCAATTCTAGCTTTTCTGTGCTATATACAGGAAGCACGATGTGATGTCGAAGAATCGATTTCGCGCACGCGAAATAATCCTCTGATAAAAAAATCGTTGCCGCGGAGATTTAACTCGATTTCGAAATATACATTTTTCTTAAGAAACGCCATAAAATTGCACTATAGTTCTCTCGGAACATTTTGACTAGATTTTCTACTTTTCATAATTTCTGATTCTGCAAACTATCGTTCTTTCCGCCATTAAATTTTGACCGTTTAAAACTACGGGTATCAAAGCGCACGATAGCTTTTTAGGATCGAAATTTAATTTATACAAACAATTCTCTTTCCATGAATGCGCGTTAAAAATGGAAAGATTTAATATAGTTGAAATAGAGCATGCTCAAGCATGGACGCTAATTTACAATAATATTATAAATATATATGTATTTTAATCGAAGAACAAACGTCAAAAAGCTAACAAACGTGATGAAAAATTGCAATGAATAATTCGACATGTGCGATTTATTTTCATCGCAATTAAAGCGTGAAGTCTCGTCATCGTTATGGCACCACCATATCGACGAGGAAATACGAATAGTTGACATAAAATTTTGAATAAATATTAATACAATTATCATAAATCTAAAATTTCTTGCTTCTAATAAAGAAAGACCGCTTGGAAAATTATACGCATTAGTTGTATTGAAAGCACGAATACAACAAAAGCGCAGATAATTTTAAACGTATACTCTTTACACGCGTATCAATAAATTAATATCATTAATAAAATCTTTAATTGTAAATTTATCTCGTTGGAAGTTAATATAAAGCGCAGTCTACCGTTCGCCAACCGACGATGACGGTATGCACGCATGTATATACGTATACACGCAAGTACACATACGTATATACATGCGTACACACTAATTTATATACACATATGTAGGTATATATATTTATATGTATATATGTATAAAGGTATTCATAAATTAGAGCTCCTTATATTACTTTTTTTAAATTATTGAATAATTAATAGTAGTATTAATATATATACAGGTACAGGTCTCGTATAGTTGCAGTCGTGTCGTCACTAGTTGTTCGGGTCTTTCTTGCTGTTGTTTTTCTTACTTGACCGTTCGCGAATCACGCGAATATTATGACGGGTGCCGACAAAATCCGCCATTTTACACACCGACCTAAAATCTGAGCACGTCGAAGAATTGCACAGAATTTCATGAGAGATACATTGGAAATATATTTAACGATAATTTCCACAATGTACTTGATACCAAGATCTCCTAGTATATATCTGACAATATTTAACAAAATTTTCCCAATTTATCTGATTAATCCTTTCATCAGTTTGTCCCTTGAATGAAACTATTACAAAAATAAAATTAATTTTCTTAGTTTGTATTTTTAATTAATTTTTTTAGTAAAATTGACCTTTGTCAATAGTTTGCAATTTTAGATTTCCTGCAATACGATGTTAAATGGATTAAGAAACAATAATATGTTTTCTCGCACAAATATTTTCAAGAAAAATAAAATCGCAATGTGCAAAAAGTTTAAACATTATAAGATTGCCATTCGACTGAATAGTATTTTAAAGTAATATTTATTCGAATTATTGGGAACTTGCATCATTATGCATCTTCGACGTGCAATTCTAAAAATGCATCGTGGAAGAGTAATTGAGAAATTCGAGTGACTTTGGTACTGTTACTTACACGACCGTTTTTTCCATTCCTTCTAAAATGGCAGCGTTGTGATCTTATCAAGCGATTAATCTAATTATTTCGAACACCACTCTCTCTTTCGTTGATAATACTACAAGATAGAAAAAATATAGAAACGAGAGTATTTACAAGGATAATTTACAAGGGAGGAACTTTATGCGTGTTTCTAAATAGAACTTCGTCGGCTTTTTTGAAACAAATGCATCTTCCTTTTACTTTTCGCATCTTCTTTAGTATTAAAGCAACAAAGTTCAAAGTATCCGCTAAAAAGTTAGGCGATTTTTTATTAATCGATTAAACGGCTTTTATTACGCAATTAATAACGATTAATTACTCTACGGATTTATTATGATTATCTTTCGCGACTTCTTATTTATGCAAAATGGTTCACAAATCAATCTCAAATTTTTATACAATATCTTGTAAAAAATAAATTAAATGATTCAAGTCTGAAATATCTTTATTTTTACTACTTTACCAATCAGAATCATTTTAACTCAATATAGAAAATAAAAATTGAAGATAAAATAACAAAAAAATTTTTTAATATATTTTTATTATAGTATTATACTTTCGTACGTTATACGTTCGAGTATTAATACGAAAGTTTATGTTTAAAACTAACTTTTCAAGAAAAATTATTTTTTGTTTTCGGAATATAAAATTATATACAGTTTTGATTTTCATATTAGAAATAAAATATCAGAACCTGTCAAAATTATTCCATTATTTCGAAAATTTATCATGTTTTATTGAAATTAGAAAGATTTTTCACGCGACACTATGTGCGAAAGCTCTATTTTTTACTGCCATTCCAGAAAGGGAAAGCTTTCGTTTTTTATTTTCTCTTTTAGTCAGTTGCGAGAAACTCCCTTACGTTTCCACGATTGCATTTTGTGCCCGAAAGGGGCTCATACCCCATCATGCGACTTATGTACTTATGTAACGTTATGTAATGTACTTATGTACACTCGATAATGTGTGGCTGGGATGTTTCTATGACGCTCGGCCGACCCACGGAATTTTCCAGATTGTGAAGAGACGTGGAGTGCGGACCATGCGTTGATCCGTGCCTGTCGTAATTATCGATGTGCTCCAATTCGCATTCCTTGGGCATATTTCCTGCAAAGATAACATGCTCATCCAGTGTTATCCTCATCCCTTTATCTAACGTTTAACGCGTTTATTCTGTTTATGAAAATCGCTAATTTTTTTCCAAGATCTTAAATGTATAGACAAGCTTGTTGATTAATTGAATTTCCCTTGTGTGTTCTTAGCGACATATAATTACGAAAGCTAAACTGTTTCTACATTTTACTTTGAAACTTATTTGAGAGTTGTAGACTTATCAAGAAATCTATCATACTTACCAACATTCATGTCAGGACCGTACTCGTAATACGTCGGCGAACCCACGGCCGCGGCGAGCGCGAGCTCATCCTCGATGTTGTTCGGCCTGCAGCTCGTTGTTTTCCAGTGGGTCCTGAGGCCGCTCGCGCTAATATACTTTTTGTCGCAACCCTGACAGGTGTAGGGCCGCTCGTTCGTGTGCAGCCTCTTGTGCAGTTTCAAATGAACGAATTGTGTGAATTTGGCGGGGCATAGATCGCAGGCGTACGGCTTTTGACCGGAATGCAGTCTAAGGTGGGTCTTTAGATTCGAGGTCGAGCTGAACCTCTTCTTGCATATCTCGCATTGGTGCGGCTTTTCACCTGAGAGCAGTCGTATCGAAAAATATGTACAAATATTATTTAAAATATTTTCCCGTTTAATGTAATATATTTTGTATTCTAAAGATCAAGTTTGATAAATTTATTTTTGTCACGGCAATTGATCTCGTTTAAAAAATATATTGCGCTTTTTCGTGTAAGGAAAGAGATAGATGAATAAAGCTAATATATTTATTATATATTAATTAGTTTCATAATGTTACTAATAATATATAATATTGCAATATAATGTTTTTGCACATTTAGGATAGGATATATCGCACATTTAGGATAGAAAAAGAAAGTGAAAATAATTGTTAAAAGAGCAACATGAATATATTTTATACAAATAAATCTAAAAGCATATCGCAAAGTAAAAATATGGAATAGATTAATATATCGAAAAATAGGAGATATTATTTCGTTTATCTTTTGATAAAATTATGTCGAGACTAATACTATACATTTAGCATTCTTACCTGTATGTACGAGATGATGCTTCTGTAGATGCGCGAGCTGCGTGAAGCTTTTGGTGCAAACATTGCACTTGAAGGGCCTCTCGCCGGAGTGCGTCCTCAGGTGCACCTTGAGATTTGATAGTTGACCGAAGGTTTTGCAGCAAACATTGCACTCGTAATGCATCTTGCCGTCCTTCTTTTTGAGCGGATAAGGCAGCGATCTATAGCCCCTCGAGCCCTGAGAGTTAGGGCTGAGGGAGCCGCTCTGGGAACAACCGTGATCGTCCGGCGACAGGGAGCTCGCCGGCGAGTATCTATTGAGGGACGACGAGGAATTGGGATGGATGGTAAGACCCGGATGATGGCTAAGGTGGAGATTGTGCGTGCCGGTAATCAACGCTTGATTACCATCGATTTGCATGGTCGACGAGGTGGGCAATTGATGACCACCACTGCTAGTGGCCTCCAGCCTCCTGCCGTCCGTGGTCCTCTCGTAGACGACGTTGCCGCTCGGCGTGGGCGAATAGGCAGTACAGTTGATAGACAATGACGTGCCCATGTTATGGTGCAGCGAACCGTTCTGGTGACCGTATAGACTACCATACGGACTGTAGGACGAGGGCGACTGAATCGGCGAAATCGGCGAGACGCTCTGATTGCTGCTGCTGCTGCTGCTGCTGGTATTGCTGCTGCCGCCGGAGTTCGGATAAACTGGACTGGCGGATTCGATCTGACAGCTGGTAGCCCCTGAACCGCCGGAGTAAAGGATCGTCGTCGGGGTGGGTACGCCGTTCTGACTTGACGACGGCGACGGCGATTTGGTCTTTCGCTTGGGCGGACAACCGTTCGCCGTCGTGGATGCCGAGTGCGGACTGCTGCTAGACGTCAGCATCGCGCTAGACGAGAGCACACTCGTACTGGAATGTATGCCACCGTTGGCGTTGCTGGATGAGTGCAAACTTCCGGGATGCGGCGGCAGGTTGCCATTGTTTCCACCGGTACTCGAATGCAATCCTCCTCCTGTACTAGAGTGCAGATTACCAGTGGGGCTTTGCATGCTGGGCAGCGCGCCACCATTTCCGCTGGTCGAGTTCACGCACGAGTCTGTTTGCAGGGGTAGATTCGAGCTAGAGTCCGGGCTGCAGGGCAGAATGTTTCCGTAACGATGAGACTTCTTGTAAGAATATGCCATTTCGGTGGGACTGGAGGGTGGCGGTGTCACCGAGTCCACATGAGTCTGATGATGCATCTGATGGTGCTGATGGTGTTGTTGCGAACCACCATTATGGTGATGATGATTGTGACTATTGTTGTTGTTGTCTGTGCTGTTACGCAACAAAATGTTCTCTAGGATGGAACTGCTGGGGTTGGCTAAATAGGCAGGTCTCCCGGACATCGACATGTTGCCACTCTTGACCTCCGGCTCGTAGAAAGGTTTCATGTTTTTCTCTGATATTTCATCTTCGGTCACGGTTGACAGCATCGTGCTCTTTTGCAGAATGATGGGCGATACCGGCTTCTGAAGTTCCGGAGTTACCGCTCGGCTGGACAACTCCTGATCCTTGTCCTTCGTTGGGCCGTCAGCTATGCCCTTTGTCGCCTGGAAGTTACCGTAAGTCTTGGAGATCTTGATCTTGACCTTCCTATATTCGTTCTTCGCTGCGGTGTTGTCTTGCTTCAGAATCTCATCATTGCACACTGACGATTTGGCGTTCTTACTGAAATCCAGCACATAGTTGTTCTCACTATCAGACTCACTGCTCTCCTCAGGTGGTGTTAGGATCTCATCATGGTAACCATTTGAATGGTAACCCTCATCTGACCTCACGGAACCATCCGTTGGCGTCATCTGACGTCTCTCGTAGATCGAGGGGTCTTTCAGAGGCGATATCACGTCTACAGTGGGCGATATTTCTGTTGGTAGTGTTGATTGTTGTACTTGTTGTCCTGAAAATAATTGATAATAAATATATGAAAATCTTTTTAATAAGAAACATTATCACGAGTACATATAAATAACACTAGGTACAATAGTATAGAAAATTATACAATAGCATTCTTATTCTAACAACATATGTGCGAAATGAATTCTGAATGTAACAAAAACTCATTAAAGACAAACGATTAAACAGTGAAAAAGCATCCGAGAAAAAGAAATTTATTTTACGAGCTTTTAATTGAGTTTACAACATAAGCAAGCTCATTATACAGATATTTAATCACACTTAACATTTTTGAAACAACCATCATATTTATTATTTTAGTAACTTGCTTGTGTCATGTCAATAATACTTACTCGTTGTCTTGCATGTCGAATTTTAAGAATTAAAAAGGTTATATGTATGAGAATTATTAGAGAGATGCAATTATAAGTATAAAATGCGAATTCATCGCAATTTTGTTGCAATTCTATTATTTCTCTATTATATATATTTATTATCTATTATAAATCTTCTTGAAATATCATATTGTTTGCAAAATCGCTAGAACATAGCTAAAAGATTTTCTGTTCCATGGATTGCCACATATGATGCATATGACGCATATATAATTTCCTTTATGATTTTAACTTAAATTAAATTATATCACTAGTTACCATCATAATCTATAGAAAAGATTATTAATATAACATTATAAAATTTATTAATAAAAATGCGTAAATAATCAAGTAAAATACTATGTTACTATATATTACTATATATATAAAAAACAATCGTGATATTAATTATTTTAATTTATTTATTGCATATATTAGCAATATATTAAAATATCAATATCTGCGTTACATTTTTTAAATTAATTTTTATGTTATATTTGCTGAAGATGAAAATACATATCTACTTACGTATTCTCTGAAGCATCAGCTCACCGGTGAGCGGATAATTGAGCCTTTCCGCGAACTCCCTGCAGTACCAAACCAACAACTCTTGATGCGGTAATATTGGCTTGATCGTGTAAAAATAAATGTTCATCTGAAACACGGGTGTAGCAACAATCGTGAGCTTTTTCCCTCCGCGTAATCTAGACGTTATTTGAGATATATTATCCTTCGCGAGATGCACCCCACAAAATTGCTTTACCTTATATTGGCATGCTATGAGGTTTTGCGATTCGGACGAGTAGGCGGGATTCACGTAACGCATCCAATTCGATTTCTGGACATCATAACCGTCGATGTAATAGAACAGCTCGTTGTTCTTGTATACCTGGACAATGTGAAAATCATCTTTGTCATTCACGAAGATTGACATGGCTCCATAAAAATGTCATGGTTGACGGATCTTCAATCGTGTCAGCATGTTTTTGTTATTTATAGGTATATTCTCATATTCATTTTACAAAAAATATGAAAACTTTTAAATCTTTATTGTTGAAGTTTGCTGTGCTGATAGCATTTATTGATATTATAAACTTTAATCGCGCATTGTTACATCATTATGTAATATGTCGTTAATATAACGTTCACTTCGATTGATTTTGATTTGTATTTTTTTATGCTACACATTTATAATTTTTGCATTATAATTAGGAAAGTCTGAACAAGAAAATATTAAAAAAAGTCACTGATTAATGTTTGTTAATTCTCATCGCGATTTATGTATCGAGTATATTTTGCACGAAGATCATGGCGGAAATAAGTAATTATCGTAGCGAATTAATGAATTACGAGGCATCAATGACTTCTCGCTGATTTCGCTTTAAGGCTCGCTAGATCGGTCGAAACCAGTTTCAGTCTCTTTGCTAGCTTCTTCCATCCTAGCTTTTCTTCTTTTTTTCTAAGTTTCGTCGATGCTGTATCGAATCTATTAACCATTGCTTCGGCGAAGTTATGTGCCATGTAATCTGAATATCTTGGTTGAGTAACAGATGTAAAGTTGACCTTACCCGCCAGAAGTACTTCCGGTTCGCGTCTGCCGGTACCGAATCCTTCGTGTACACCTGGCCGACCAGAGGGCCGAAACGTGTCCCTTTGGGGATGTAACCGGTACTCCATACTCCCAACACCTGCCACATATATGTAATTTCCGATTAATCGACTGAAATTGAGGGAGTGACACATATCTGAAAATTCTATATCAATTTAAATTCTTAATTCTCATTTCATAATTTATCATCCATCAAATTTTAGGATTAAACTTCTTTTTAAAAAGTTTTATAATATTTCATAACTCGATATAATTTTTTTATTTCTTGAATGTTTTATTTCTTGAATTTCACAAATATACTTAAAGTATATTTAAAATACATGAAGAATAAAAATGATTAATAAGTAGTTATTTGCAAGGTTGATTCCAATTCGGGGGATCAATCAATGATAAATCAATTTTGTAATTTATAATGGACTCGATGCAGTCGAAATCCAACGGAGAAATTGCTGTCGACGAAATTCCCTCCATGAGTTTTTAACTTCGGGAGATGGCAAAACCTACCAAAATGTATATATGATAGGTGATTGGCAAAAACACATTGTTTGCTTCCTTCGATATTTTCATCTATTCCAGCGTTGTGTTAAAATACGCGGCAGAAGATAGAACCTATTTTCATTCCGGCTCACGTTAGAATAGAATTTCGCCCTATTGCATAGAAACGTCCATTCGGCAAAACTAATTTAACTCTTCGGTGCTTTCAGTCCGGCGCGTGCTTTTGTTTCTCTTTTGACTAACGGAAGCTCGACCGACGGACGTCGATTAGTCCATCGCGCGCTTCTCGTTCTCGATATATTACATCGTTGCGATTCGCAAACGTTTCGGCTCTCACGCCGGACTCGAAATTTCGTAAACGGCGTAGAGAAGCTTCGAGCAAAAGTTTCGTCTCAATTGCACCGAGCTTTCTCGGTTGTCATCACATTGAGTGAAGTGTAACAATTTGATTTTGTCTCTGGCTTATATTATACATCTAGAAAAGTTAATTAGTCTTATTTCTCGGTCAAATTTGTCGTCCTTTCGTGGTGTTCTAGCCAACGCTTTTTAACTTCATGTTCTACCTTATATCTAATTAAAATTTATTTTAAAAAATTGTGTTTCCTTGTCATTCTTTGAAATTCACATGCCATTTATTTATCCTTACGTTAAAATTTTTAATAAAAAATTTGAGAAATTAAAAACAGGAAAATATATTGTTTGATAACAATTATATGTTATATATACTATTGAAACCAAAGTAACGTTACAAGAATATAATTGATACTGGAAAATATTAATTTTAGCAAGACATAAACTATAATAGAAATAAGTGCCAATGATAATAGATAAGTTTTTAATTAAAAGTTTGTGACTGTTACAAATTCCTACAAATATTTTTTACATTCTTAAAAAAATAATCTATATCTATATATATATATATATATATATATATATATATACTA